AAAAAAAAAAAAAAAAGAAGAAGAAGAAGAAGAAGAAGAATGAGATATGTTTAGGAATCATGCCTAAGTGGTCAAACTGCAAAGGAATGATGACCACTGAAGTCAGGATGGTGGTTAACTCTTGTGGGGAGGAAAGAGAATTATAATCATTTGGACCCAGTAGTTAAGAATTGATCATCTGTGTAAAGTCTGGGCTTTTTTAGTTCTTTTGCTAAGGGAATCAAGTCATACTTTTAGTAGACTAGTTGTTGACCTAGACAATAGTTATTGGGTATTCACTTTATTTATAAAACCATAAATACATTTTATCTTCTTTTCTGAAAGTATGTTATCTTCCACAATAAAAAAATAAGAAGAATCAGAAGTCATAATTTCCTGCTCTGATGCTGTAAAAATCACAACCTCAAAAAAGATAAACAAATACTGAGGACAATTTATCATAATTCAGTGCCAAAGAAATTAGTGATCTCACAGGATATCAAGTCTGTAAATTCTTCTTAAAAAGTATAATAAACTAATGGGGACTAAGTGAATGTGGGTACAGAACAAAGAGATCTGGGTCCAAATCCCCCATCTCTAACTACCATGTATCCATGGGCAAGTCACTTCCCGAGTCTGTTTTCTTATCTCGAAAGAGGATCCAACACATACCTTTCCAGAATTATTAAGGATTAGAGAAAATGTGTCTAAACCTCAGTATCTAGCACAGAAGCACTTAATAATTTAGAATTTTAATAACAACAAATTGTCTGTCATATAAAATGAAACAGATCTCTAGAGCTCCATTCAGCTCTGCAAGTCTGCTAGTCTATTACTCTATTTCCTCAGCAAAGGAAGAAAATCCAGACCCTACACAAATGATCACTTCTTAATAACGGGGTCCAAATGAAGCTTTACCAGACTAACAATTTCATTTAATTCATTGCCGTCTTACATTTTAAATTACATATGTTTTAATCAGCCATAGTTCTACTTCCTTTCTTCCCTTACCAGAAAGAAGAGAGATGATAATCTTAAAACACAATGAAGCAACTGTGCAAACAATGCGATCTTGACTTAGACGTTGGGGGAGGGAGGGATTCAGAAGTGGACAGTAGAAAGAAGCCACTGGCCAGATGAGTTAGCACCACCCCAGCCCCAGATGTGCAGAGCCATTCAGTATGGGTCTGCTTAAGGAGAAGTAAGGATTTTTTAGTCTACTATCTTATATAAAAATGTCACTGATTTATAATAATTTAATCTCATTCAAAAAAGTTTAGTCATCTATCATGTTTAAGAAACAATCTAAACAATCTGGGCAGACTAGAAGAATAACATCCTAACATCTATTTTTGGATAAAGGCACTTTTACAATTAAGTAAAAAGCCAACACTAAATAACAGACCACATTAAGAAAGCGAAGAGCATATACTTATATTGCATTTAATGCTCATAACAGTCAAGGCACTTTCAAGAATAAAGACACAGAGGGGACGGGGGGAGGGAGGAGAGCGAAAGGGATAATTCAGCACATGTGTATGGTGATGGGTTGTAATTGGTATTTGAGTGGTGAACATGATGTAATCTTTGCAGAAATAGAAGTATACTGATGTACACCTGAAATTTATACAATGTTATAAACCACTGTTACTGCAATAAACAAAAATTAAAAAAAAAAGAATAAAGATGAGTCTTTATGCATTAGAGTAGGTTTTAATCTGCTATACCAAATATGAAAAATTTTACAGATTTTTATGTCCATTGAACAAGCACTAACTGTAGGATATAACCAAACACAACTTTCTTTGTGTCTCAACTATCCTCTTAAAATTTATGTGGTAGGGAAAAATGTTTCCCTGCCACTGGATGACCACTTGGGCAGGCCCACATGATTCTTCTGGCCAATGTTAAATAACAGAAAGGCCTATGGTCACTTTTGGTAACAAACCAACCTTCACTTGGTAATCAAATCTGACTGAGATGGGCTTTGTCTCTTTTCCATGACCTCCTCTCCCGCTCCCTAGCTGTCGGTTCTCTCCAGGGTGGGCATAGGGGAAAGGGAGGCTGGTTGAAGGAAGGCAAGGAGATTCCAACTTAAGCAGTCCTGCCAAAAGGCCTGTCTGATGTTTGAAGCTGACTTTTTTCTCGGACTCACTTTTGTGGGTTCTTCAGAGTCTTACCTCAGAGTTCCGTCTGGCTCTAGCTCCACTGACATGGATAACTCATTCTCCTTCTGGCTTTCTGGATGTCACTTAAAGGACTCACTGTTGGAGCCTCACTGCCTTTCTAGGCAGTTTACTTGTGCAGGAGTCAAAACAGCTCTAGGCTGCCCTCCTTCCTCCAGTAGGCCTGCCTCTGATCTGTAGGAAACACTCATATTTCCTTTGCCCCGACAAACACTGGAGTGTAGTCAAATTCCAACACAGTCACGTCTTGGATAGCTCTTGCTGTGGGAGCAGTTAGCCAGCTACAGTTCTCTCCTTGTTGGATTTCTCAGGGGATTCAGACCTTAGTCCTCTGTGCCCCCTAACTGAAGAGAATTCTTTAAATCTCTGAGTGGCCCCTCGAAAGCTCCTCTCACTAGATTTCAAGTGAGAGAGCATGCACCCCCATTTCTCCCATGGGGTCGGAGGAAGCCACAGCATAATTTTCTCAAAGAATCCTCACGAAATGCTCTTCCTTGTCCCATAAGCATCCTTCTTGCAGGTTTTTTTTTTTTTTCTTATGGGTTTTAGAGCTTCTAACTGGTTCTTGAACATGAAATATCTCACTTTGGAATTATACACTATTGTACCTCAGTGCTTCAGCTAAAATCCCAATAGCATATTCTGTTATAATAATAATTAGCAATAGATGAAGTTAGGTCTATCTTCTGATCAAATTTGAAAAGAAATTAATTCTTGAATGGGTAATTACTTGCCACTGTAAACTCACAAAATTTCTAGTTTTTGTAGTTTTAACATGGCATCCCAAAGAATCCAAGATCTTAAGGGTTATGAAATACACCATAAAAATAAAATGGACTGTTGTTGTCTTTCATCCTTCCAAGTCTGTGTGATTATTATTAATAATAAAAACTCAATAGAGTTAGCTGTTGAGGTGACAATATGTTTGCTGTGCTCAGAGATGACCTCATTTAATCTTCAAAACTCTATAAGGTAGGTACTTTTATTAAGTTCATTTAATAATTGAGAAACTGAAGTATACAGTCACTATATCCAGCATGGTAAAATTTTTATTTAAAAAATCAAACTAGCCGTAGTCCCTCTATGTAACTCAACCAAACACCCACGCTGGGTTTCCTAATATTATTGAAGAAACAAATCTTTTGCAATGGAAGAGGTGCTATTTAAATTATGGAATAACAACATTCTCTCCTTTCCTGTTAAAAGTGCCTGTTATGTTCCAGGCACTATCCTAGGCTGTTGAGAATACAAAAACACCTAAGAGATTTCTCTACCTTCCGATAATTTTCAAACTAGTAACATATATGCAAATAGAGGTCCACCAGAACACCACATAGAATGTGCTAAAGGTTTTGAGAAATATAGATGTCAAAAAATGTAAATTAGGGCCTGGCTCCATGGCATAGCAGTTAAGTGCGCATGCTCCGCTGCTGGCAACCTGGATTCGGATCCTGGGCGCGCACCTGACCACTTGTCAGGCCATGCTGTGGCGGCGTCCCACATAAAGTGGAGGAAGATGGACACAGATGTTAGCTCAGGGCCAGTCTTCCTCAGCAAAAAGAGGAGGATGGCATGGATGTTAGCTCAGGGCTGATCTTCCTCACCAAAAAAAAAAAAAAAAAAAAAAAAGTAAATTAGGGACTGGCCCCATGGCATACAAAATAGAGGAAGACTGGCACAGATGTTAGTGCAGGCCTAATCTTCCTCAAGCAAAAAAAAATGTAAATTGAAGAAAGGCTTTAGAACATGCTTGTGTACTCTTATTTGAATATGTGTATGTCTTTGATGTTATAGAGAGACACAACCAAGAAAGCTATGCTGGGAAATCTTTTTCAAAACATACCATGAAGCTTTCCAATTTCCCCATCCAGATCCTCTTTGTTTTCTACTCCATACTGAGAACAAATCCTCAGCTCTCAGTGTTTGGCCAAAGGAGAATGCAAATCACTCAAAGGAAGTGGTTAGGTTTAATATTTAAGAAGATTTTCCTGCATATTAAGTAAAACAAAAGTGTTGTCATTATGCAGATGTAAATGACTGCAAGGGTAAAGGGTTTACAATTGAAGACACCCAAGGTGAAGATTTATTGTAGTTTAAGGTTCATAAATATTCTTTTGCCCTTTTTTGGTAGCTCCAACCCCCAATTCCACTTGATCTTG